TTGGCCGCTCTGGGCGGCGGCTCGTCTGCCCGCGCGGCGCGGCGCGGCGCGGCGCGGCCCTGCCTGTCCCGGCCGGTGCGTGGAGCGGCGGCCCGCCTTGCCGGGAGGAGCCTCTGCGCGCTCGTGGCGTGTCCCGGCTGCGCTGCGCCGCGCCGTCCCGCGGGAGGCCGCTCCGAGCAGGCCCGGCGGGCTCCTGGGCGCTCTCCCGCCATGCGCTGGATCGCGCCTTCCAGGCGGCAGCTGCAGGTGCTGCGCCGCGCCCTGCGCGCCCTCTCCAGCCACCTCCCGAACCAGGTGCGTCCCTGGGCGCCCCCCGGGATCCTTTGCCTGCTTGCAGCCCCGTAGGAAGAGGCGCTTGGGGGGAAGCGGCAGGAGCCTCCTGTCCGGCCTGGGGTGGCAGCAGAGTTGGCCGAGATCCTGCGGGATCCTGGGTCCCGTGCCCTTGGAAGTGCGGACAGGTTTCCTCTGCCCTTTGCGTGCCGCTTTATTCACCGCCATCTATTTCGAGCCAGTTGTGCAAAGCAAAACGCATTCATGGCATACTCATGGCGGATATTTTCGTTGCTGCGTTGTCACAGAGCTGACAGTAAAAGGTAGGGGAAATGGTCCTCAGCAGAGCAATCCTGAGGCTCCCGGACAGCATCTAGGAAGCCGTAGGATTGCTCGGATCTCCAGCTGTGAAGCGGGAAAATTGCTGCAGCCTCATAATAGGTGATCCGCACTTCATTCCTCCCTCCGCTGGCGTGGAGAGAATCAGGAGCATCTCCCAGGCTTGGAGAAGGGCTTTGGGGGCTTCCTGGGGGGAACAGGAGGCAGCACCGCCACCAAGATGCAGTGTGTCCTGGTGGCAGCTCAGCCTCGTGCCTTTCCAACTAGTGTTTTGAAGGTGGGAGTGAATGGGTGCCCTTTGCCATCATGCTGCTCCTGGTCTGCACAGGGGGCTTCTGATTCACCAAGTTCTGAGAGTTACAGACATCTTGAATGAAGTGTGCCCTCGCGTGCTCAAAATAGTTATTGAAGAAAGTGACTATTTCCCCAGCAAACAAACAGATACAAGGGGAAGTTGCCAGTCTTGGAGCTGCAAGCCCCAGGAAATTAAGCATGTTGCATAAAATGTAGCGAGGAATTAATTAATGTAGCGAGAGACTGAATGCCAGATCTGGTTTTAAACACTATGCATGTAACATTTATTGTATGATATAAATAATGCAGAGGTATAAGAATACAAGTTCAGCAATCGTCAGCAACGATATCAAGAGGCCTCATTCACACTCGCAACTCACAACCAAGAGACCCTCTCGGTGATCCGTTGGGACTGTGGGTGACCACGTGCAGCGCTGTTCTGACACACACGGGAGCTGGAAAGCCCAGGCCTTTTATACCTTAGAGTTGACTCTATCAGCTTAGTCCAACTGGATCAAACAGTGAACTCCTCTGAGAAGAGCTGACAGAACATGCTGGGCTTTATCTTGAACGCATGCACTCTGGTCACATTCCATTCTTTCTCTGGATGGTACAGCATGGGCTTATCTGTTATGTTCCATTCTCCAACCACTCCCGGCCTCTCATTTTTCTCAGTCTGGTCAGTCCAATCATGCTTTTTCATTCTTCATTTTCTTCTGGGTCTTAGGCCTTCAGGAACCCATGCACACTGTAACAAAATCAACAGTAAAGTAACTGGTAACTACCAGAAGTACAGGCAGGATTTCGAAGAGGCAGAGGAAATAGAGATCAAATTGCCAACATATGCTGGATCATGGAGAAAGCTAGGGAGTTCCAGAAAAACATCTACTTCTGCTTCATTGACTATGCTAAAGCCTTTGACTGTGTTGATCACAACAAATTGTGGCAAGTTCTTAAAGAGATGGGAGTACCAGACCATCTTATTTGTCTCTTGAGAAGCCTATGTGTGGGTCAAGAAGCAACAGTGAGAACTGGACACGGAACCACTGATCGGTTCAAAATTGAGAAAGGAGTTCGGCAAGGCTGTATACTGTCGCCCTGCCTATTTAACTTCTATGCAGAGCACATCATGAGAAAGGTGGGGCTAGATGAATCACAAGTTGGAATTAAGATTGCTGGGAGAAATATCAGCAACCTCAGATATGCAGATGATACCACTCTAATGGCAGAAAGTGAAGAGGAACTAAAGAGCTTCTTGATGCGGGTGAAAGAGGAGAGAGCAAAAGTTGGTTTGAAACTCAACATCAAAAAAACTAAGATCATGGCATCCGGTCCTCTCACTTTCTGGCAGATAGATGGGGAAGAAATGGAGATAGTGACAGATTTTATTTTCCTGAGCTCCAAGATTGCCGCAGATGGGGACTGCAGCCAAGAAATTAAAAGACTCTTGCTCCTGGGGAGGAAAGCTATGGCAAATCTAGACTGCATATGAAAAAGCAGAGACATCACCCTGCCAACAAAAGTGCGTATAGTCAAGGCTATGGTTTTCCCAGTTGCAATGTATGGCTGTGAAAGCTGGACCATAAGGAAGGCTGAGCGCCGAAGAATTGTGGTGCTGGAGGAGACTCCTGCGAGTCCCTTGGACTGCAAGGCGATCAAACCGGTCACTCCTGGAGGAGATCAACCCTGACTGCTCTTTAGAAGGCCATATACTGAAGGTGAAACTGAAATACTTTGGCCACCTAATGAGAAGGAAGGACTCACTGGAGAAGAGCCTAATGCTGGGAACGATTGACGGCAAAAGAAGGAGGAGACGGCAGAGGATGAGGTGGCTGGATGGAGTCACGGAAGCAGTCGGCGTGAGCTTAGGTGGACTCCGAGGGATGGTGGAGGACAGGAGGGCCTGGAGGAATGTTGTCCATGGGGTCGCAGTGGGTCGGACATGACTTTGCGACTAACAACAACAACCATAGGGAAAGTTTATGGCGACCTTTAATTGTTCTCAAATTTAATTGACAAAGCTGTTGGGTGATATCTGAAGAGAAAATGCTGAACTGGAGCTCATCAGTAAAGATGGCAGGATTGTGTGAGAGGGTGCGTGGGTCGTTTGCTCACAAAACCAAGCTTTTTCAGCATGTGATGCAAACAGTGGATTTGCAGAGGAGCAGCTGGCTATGTGGAAGATGCAGCCAGTTGAATTGCTGCCTTGTATCCTGTGCCTTTGCTTATCAGTTATATGTTACTGGTTTTTAGGTGACTGAAGATGTGGTAAATCACCCATCACCACAGCTTGGAGCTGCTGTGAGGAACATACTTCTCAAACCTCCCAAGGTAATTCTCCAGCCGAGTTGGCCACCTGGGCCTTTGGTGTTCTGCTTCCTCTCCTAGCGTCCTTGTCAAGCAGTTCTAGTGCTCCCTTCACTGGGACAAGCCTGCTCTGTCATCCCCCCAGACCATCCTGCCTTTAGCACACAGTATTCAGGCTCCCGGCACCCGAATAAGCTTAATAGGCTCTTTTTTCCAATTTTGCCTTCTTTCCTAATCACTTTCTGTTTTCATGCATCCTTGATGCTTTTGGGCACAGACCCAGATGGTTAACATTAAGCAGCTGCTGCATCTGGAAGGCCTTCAGTTGTAGGCTGCTGTTTCACCTACAAAGTTATTATATTTTCAAGCCTTTTTTTTGGCATGGACCCTTAGGGCACCAAGGATTTTAATCCAACGCAGATGAGCATCCGTGAAAAAATCTTTGCCACCGTAACCAACTGCTTCAAGCGTCATGGAGCGGTGACAATAGACACTCCTGTGTTCGAGCAGAAGGTAAGGACAAGCCAGTGCTGCTTGCGCTTCATTCACATGTCCTCCTTTTTAGCTGGAGGCTGCAGTTGGGCATAGAGGCTGTGTAATGGTAGTTGCTTCGATGGACTTGAAGGGGCTTAACTGTGGGCGGAATTGGATTGGGCCAAGGAAGGAAATGAACTTAAGCAGTGAGCCGCCACCGATCTTGGTGGCACTCAGCTGGGACTAGCTGCTCCCACTCACCATCTTGCGGGTGGTTCACTTGACCTTGTGGTTCAGGACAGGGCATTGTAAAACATGGTCGGCCCTAAACTACGGCATGCAAGTTTGCTGGGTAACTCAGACTCTACTAATTCTTTAATATTATTAATGATATTATTAATATTTCTTTTTAAGTACCTTGGAGATCTCTTTCACGACCTAAATAAATTGGTTCTAAATACAAAACCGAGCATTTCCTGCTCAAATTCAGAGGCGGCTTTTCAGAACTAAGTCAAATAGTTCCAGCACTCAGTAGTGTTGGTTCCATGAGGCTGGGTGCACTACGAGGTGGTCGCCTCTCTCCTCTCCTCCATTATCTACATGCGGTTTTTTGTGATTAGGTTTAGCATTAGGAGTTAGTAGGGGAAGTGGGCTACGATCTTGGCTTCTGTGCCTCCCCGCTGACCTGTTTATTTCAGGCGTATGTGGGAGCCTTCCCGCTCTCTTTAGCAGCCATATTAGATCCTGATTCTCTTCTTTATCACCGAACATGTGCTGGAAGGGGTGCCCATTCTTACTGTTTGGGCGGCGGAAGCAACCACCGCCTGCCCTTCTTTCAGAAGAAAAAGCATGCAGACAAAAATGCAGTGAAGACTTGAGAATGCAAAGCAAGGGCTGGGTCAGCTTGACCGGGGGACCTTCACCTGGGGAGTAAAGCAGAGGGTGCAACCAACGGAGTCTGCCTCTTTAGGAAGCACGCGTGCCCCAGCATCACCGAGCCGGCTTCCCAGGGAGCTGGCGGCATGACGTGAGGCCCTCCTGGCAGACCCCGTCCACCTTTCTCCTCAGCAAGCTGCCTGGGGCCTGCAGCCGGAGCACCGGGATGGCCTGACCCGGCGAGTCCTGGCAGCTTGTTGCACAGTCTGGGCCAGAATTGTGCCAACCCTTGTTTGAAAGGAAATGCTAGCTGCTTTAACGCCTATTCCAGAACAGGCAACACAGCTGTACATGACAAAATGTGCTGCATTTCTTTTGTTTTCTTTCCTTCAAGGAACTCCTTCTGGATAAGTACGGGGAGGCCTCGAAGCTGATCTATGACCTGAAGGACCAGGGCGGGGAGCTGCTGTCTCTTCGCTATGACTTGACTGTATCCTGCCCGGAGCGCTCGCAGCCACGGGGGAGCTGCTGCTGTGCTCTCCCCTGCGGGGGGTGGGGGGTCGTTGCTGGAGCTCGGACGTGCTGGGCACTCCTTCCCGGAGGCCTCCGGTGTCACTCGAGCCATTGATGGCCTTCGCAGCAGCAGCCGGGCCTGCTGCTCTGCACGCTCCCGTCATTGGGGGAGCTCTTGCCACAGCACCCAGCCGGCCCCATCACTGAGGGGCTGCCCATCTCGCCCTGGCCTTGCAGGGGTTTTGCCACGAGCCCGGCCCTCCCCTTCGGGCCCTGGGCTCCAAAACACCGGGCAGTCCCTCTGCAGGCGGGTCTTGCCAGCACTTGGTAGCCACAAGATAGCGCAGCTGTGAAGGTTCTCAGAGCAAAGCCCCCGCACAGGCCGAGAGCGACAGCTGAATCCACCCTCAGGGTTCCTGCTGTGGGAGAAGAGCCGGCCAGCCAGAGCGGGGCAAGCCCTCCAAGTGAGCTGCTCGTCTCTCCCGACACTTTGTCGCGGGGCCAGGCCAGGGCTCTCCCTCCTCCCCCTCCTCCTCCACCCCCCTCAGAACACGCCAGCTCTGGCGGGCAGCCTGGAGGCAGGAGTCCTGGGGGCACCTCAGGGCCTCTGCTTCTGCCTGGGCCCCCGAGGGTCCATCTCCGCCGCCCCAGCCAGCCACTCCCCTTCGGGATCCCAGCCCAGCTGTCCCTGGGGTACCTTCCAAGAGTGGCAGTCGGCTCCACTCACCACAGGGGCACCTCTTCCTGACCTTCCAGTGCTTTAGAGATGCTTAGCATTCTGGTCGGCTGCTGTTGATTTTGAAAGGCTGCTCTTGATTCTGCTTTCAGGCTCCCTGTTTGTTTTGTCCTCTAAACATCCCCCTGAGCATGTAGAAGCACAGAAGGGCCGTCCATTTGTTTGGTCCCCCAAGAGAAGGGTACAGGCCGGGGTTCCAGTTTCTCACAGAACTGGAGGTGCCTCTCAGGCTGAGCCTGCATGCCCCACTCTGCCTGCCGGGACCATGTGGTAGCAGCTGGCTTGTCAGTTGCTCCTGGCAGATGCCTGCCCGGGAAGCGAACGTCTTCCTCACCCTCCTGGCCCCTGCTGGCACATGCCTCAGGGCCTTTCCAGCAGAGGTCCCATCCCCGGAGTCCGCATGCCTCTTGCAATCAGCCTGCAGGGTTGCCAGGTCAAGGAGGACAGAAGGTAGGTCCCTTACACCAGGCCTGTTCCGCTTTTACTCGCCGGCATTCACAGGGGACAGTGGTCGTGATGCAGCTCCTATGGAGTGTTAACAGAATATAAGCTACCCAGGGTTACGTTTTCTTCCCACCAATTCCCAGACAGCATTTCTGAGGACATAGTTTCAACTTCTTCTAAAAACAGACTTGCAAAGCACTGCCACCAGCTATTAATGACATAAAATGGACATAAACAGCAGCCTTCTGAACGATGATCAAACGATTGTCATCAGTTCCTGAGCTAAAGGCGATTTTCCTTAACAGAGCGCTTCCAGGTGCCCTTTGCTCGTTACTTGGCTATGAATAAAATCACCAATCTGAAGCGGTACCACATTGGCAAAGTCTACCGGCGCGACAGCCCAGTCATGGGAAAGGGGCGCTACAGAGAATTCTGCCAGTGCGTGAGTATTTGCAGTTCGCTACTCTGCCAGAGAAAACCGAAACAGGCACGTCTTGCCCCTCGGAATCTGAAACCGGAATGGGTGGGGGCAGGTTCTGTCTGGGGTGCAAGCCATGTGGGTGCTCTGCTGGAGGGTAGAAATTTTACCCCACTTCTCATTTCAGGACAAGGGGCTTTATAGCAGTGGAAAAGCTCAGCAGACAGTTGCTTCTTCTCGGTGGTGCTTGGGATTTTGATGGCTGCCTTCTGTGCCTCAGGATTTTGACATTGCTGGCCGGTACGACCCCATGATCCCCGAAGCGGAGTGTCTGAAGGTCCTACATGAGATCCTAAGTGCCCTGTCATTTCGAGATTTCCTGATCAAGGTAAAAGAGCCTGCTGTTATTCTTGGTTGGGCCAGAAAGAGCCCGTGTGGCAGGGAAAATAGGCGATGGAGCGAGAGGCAGGGCGGAGAGGGGAGGACCCCGAAGGGCGCGTTCATCTTGGGACCTTTGCCTGATTCTTCTTGCATGCTTGTTCCTTTCCTGCAGGTTAATGACAGGCGCATTTTGAATGGGATCCTGACAGATGTTTGTGGTGTTCCCAAAGCAAAGTTTGAGACCGCTTGCTGTACCCTCGACAAACTGGATAAGGTAAGCAGCTGAAGAAACTGGCGCTGGGGGAAAGGAGGCTCTGGGGCTGTCCAGGTGGTCCCGGCAGGACCGTTACCCACCACTATCTCTGGGTATTGTCTAAAGGGAGTGACGGTTATCCTTGGGCCCCATCAAATTGACGTTCCCCATGGCCTTCCCACACCTGCACTGGCGAAACTGCCAGGACACATGTTCTGGGGTGGCATGCAGCCAGAACATCAATGATTTCAGCCAAGAATGTGCTAAGTTGGCACTTGCGTCTCCACAGATGACATGGGAAGAAGTGAGGACTGAGATGGTCGAAGAGAAGGGGGTCCTGCCGGAGGCTGTGGATCGCCTTGGCGAATACACCCGGCTGCAGGGTAAGTTCCAGTGCAGGCGCCTCACAGCGTGAGCCGAGCGCCCCAGCGGCTTCTGCCTGCCCCCAGCAGTGTGTTCCAGCCGGGATCGGCTCACCGGGGTAAACAGAGCAGCACCACTTTGGAAGTTGCACCAGCCCTGAGGTATCTCCACCCAACTCTCTTTCCCGCAGGGGGACCACTTCTGGTCAAGCAGCTGCTCCAGGATCCCAGGCTGTCCCAGAGTAAGCTGGCCATGGAAGGGCTGCAGGATATGGAATTGCTCTTCAAATACCTGGCTCTGTTTGGCATCATAGACCAGGTGAGAGGGGATACTCGGTCAGCTCTGCCGTGTGTGGCCGGGGGGCTAAGACATTCTCCCGCAAGGGCAGAAGGTGGCCAGTTCTGAGGAGGAGGCGGGGGGCAGAGGACTGGGCTGTTTTGAGGTCACTCATGATGTTTCTTTGGCAGAACATGCGAATCAGCCTGCCTTAGAAGGGGGCAGACTTACCGGAGCTGGCGTGGAAGGGTATGTCAGGGGTGCCTTGGTCAGGTCAGGAGATGAAAGGGGAAGTAAGCAGACCGATTTGGAAGTGTCCAGCCTTCCTTCCACTGGGCCCCCAACCAGCAGGAGCTGCCTGACGGGCCAGCCAGACGCTCTACTGGAAGGAGGGGAAGTTCCGACTGGGATTCCGCTCTTCACAAGGGTGGATGCTTCTCCCCCATCTTGTGGAGGAGGCTGCTCTGATTTACACTCTGTTGGACCGCTGTTGCCGCACTGTCAGGAGAGGGCTACTTGCAAGGTTTCGTTGCAGTCTGCTGACTTGCTCACGGCAACCGCTGGTGCTGGGGGCACCTGCCTCAGGGCTGGGAAGCAAGCTTGGCTTCGGCTTCCTGGGGGAGGCAGGCAGTCTCCCGCTGCGCTTGCTGCCTTGGAGGGTCCCGCCTTCATGGTAAGAACAGCAGCAACCAAAAATATGGACTCAGCCCTTGGGCACCAAATCACCAGGCAATCTTTGCAGTGCAGAGTTTTATGGACACACCGCAGCTCTCAGAGGGAGCAGTTCTAACTCTCGTGAGTTGGAAGATCAGTCCCTGCTCAGGTCAAGAATGGGGAGCTGAGGGTGTTTCGAAAGCCATCACTTTGCCCTCTCCCTGCGCAGCTCCGGAGCAGGGCCTCCCTGGCACTGGCCCCCTCCTGCATGATGGGGGAGGAGCTTCTCCCGTGAGTAAAACCCCCTGCACACCTGCCTTGCTCCACAGGTCTCCCTGGACCTGAGCCTGGCCCGCGGCCTGGATTACTACACTGGCGTGATCTTCGAGGCCGTCTTGCCGCCCCAGCACGATGGTTCTCTGCAGGAGGGGCTCAGCATGGGCAGCGTGGCTGGGGGCGGGCGCTACGACGGGCTCGTGGCAACACTCAGTCCGAAAGGAACGGACGTGCCCTGCGTGGGACTCAGCATCGGGGTGGAAAGGATCTTCTCCCTCCTGGAGCAGAGCATTGAGGTGAGCTCTCTTGTGGTGATTGCTCTCCGAGTACCGTACATGCTCCAATTTTGGGATAAAATGTAGGGCTTCCACGTAAGGCAGCGACGCACTTCTGGTCCCTCCAGTGCCATCCAGCCTAGCGAAGAACTGCCAATTATTGTTATGGTCATATTAAATTGTAGTTAATATAAAATTACACTTAATATATTTTTAATCCCTGCCTTTCCCTCTGGTTATTTGCTTTTACTATTTATTTATTATGTTTCTTTACATCCTACCTATTTCCAGTGATTGGAATTGTAATGCATTATGGTAAAGTAATTGGGATTGTAATGCATTATTCTAAAGCCCTAATGACCAAAGGACACTTTACATAACTGAAGAAGTACTTCAGGTATGGTGTTTCTACCATAACAAGCCCCTGGAAACTGGTTACGCCAGCTGCAACCCCAGAGCTCGGTGGACCTGGCTCCATGCGAGTGAAACCGTGATAACAAAGCAGGCATCCTTGTCCAAGAGGACTTGGGAATGTGGCTCAAGGACAGTGTAACTGCACGTTCCTCCAAGAGGGACGGAACCCAGTGAGGTTGGGACTTGGCTGGTAAGGAGGGTGACCTGTCCCAGCTGGTTAATGCAATTTCTCTCTCCTCTCTGAAACATCTAAGGGGAAGATCCACACTACAGAGACACAAGTTCTGGTAGCATCTGCTCAGAAGAACTTCCTTGCTTGGAGAATGAAGCTCATCTCTCAACTGTGGGATGCCGGCATCAAGGTAAGACTGACTTCGCAGTCAGTCACACTGCCATATTCCTAGACGGTGGCACTTTTGAGCCCAAGGCACAAGGAAATAATGTGTTTTCAGAGAGAAATGAGCAGCTAATGACTAAATGCCTCCTTTTGCAAGTATGAGGTAGGCTTGAAAGGAAGGGACAAAAATAGCCACTAATTTAGTGGAAAGCCTCTCTTTCGGTCAGTGTTGGGACTTCCAAGGAATTCCCAAAGCAGCGCGACTTCCTGTTTGCTGCGGATGTCTTGCAGGCCGAGATGTTCCATAAGAAAAACCCCAAGCTGCTGAAGCAACTGCAGTACTGTGAAAAAGTGGGGATTCCACTGGTCGCCATCATAGGGGAAAAGGAGCTGCAGGATGGAGTTGTGAAACTTCGGGATGTCGCTACCAGGAGAGAGGTTGGTGTCTGAAAGCATCCGCTGGGTGCCGCTGATCCAAACGGTATTTCCCCCGAGCTGTTTTGGCATAACTGACAGCAGACAGATGCTTCCAGGTGAAGTTTCCTTCCGTGGAAAGCTGCTTGTTTGGATGACTTGTAGTAATCGCATGTCCCACGCTTGCTTTGCAGATCGATGTTCCCCAGGAGAATATTATAGAGGAGATCCAGAGGCTGCTGAGGGAATAGAGGCTTCGGCGGCTCCACGCAGCCTCATGGAGCGTTGCCAGTGTGCACAGCCACAAGGGGCTCTGACGCATTTCTTTCTTTCTTGTAATAAAGTTGATTTCCTTTTCTGTTGGAATGTTAACAGCTTCCCAAACCACTTGAGTTTTTTTCAGCATTTAAAAGAACAGACCCTTTATTTCATTTTCTGTGAGTGCAAAGCAGCATTTCTGGAACTGGACTTGTGGGCACTGTGCCCCCTTCCTTTCTGCTTGCCTTGGGGCACTCAGGTTTGCACGCACAAGCAGTCTGTTCAGCATCTGTCCCTGACAAGAGAGGAGGAGCTCTTGCTCTCCAAAGGGTTCGGGGCATCCCCAGTCCAAACCAGCACTTGACACGGAAGTGGCCCTTGTGACGAGCCGAGCCTGCAGTGTGTAGCGTCCTCCAGGAGCCGCCCCAGCTGGCCATTCCCCAAGGTCACTCCTTCTCTTGGTTGTTTTCCCCAGCGTGAATCGGAGGGGCTGCGCTTCTCTGCTCTGGCCAGTTCCTGAGGAACCCTGGCTCTCTGAGGGCTCTCTTTGGAGGAGCTGGAAATGCCGACAGGGACCCCGCGGTGGCTCACAGGTCGCTGGCGATGACGCTGGCGTCCGCTGTTCAGAGATGAGCTGGCAGTTCACAGGTCACCCATCGGGTGCGGTACAAGCCATGTATGAAACGTGCATGTGCAAACTTATACATCCTGGGATGCATTTTACTAAATGCAAAGCCAACCAGCTATCTTCCCATCTAAATCACTTAAGTAATTTCCATATTTGGCACCTGCCCCACTAAAAACTAGTCCAAGGGAGAGTGCAAACTCATTCGGAAGCAAGCCAGCGGCAAGGCGGGGCTGGGCCCGCCTGATCCTGCCGGCAACTGCGCCCGGTCTCCCCCAGCGGGAAGGGCCAGGGCGCCGCTCCCGAGCAGGCGGGGAGGCGGCGCGTCCCCGCTCCGCGGCCTCCTGCCAACAGGCCCGGCCCAGCAGCCACGGCCGGCCCGCCCGCGGAAGTGCGCGGCGCGCCGCCTCTT